CGCCCCTGAGCAACATAAGTTTTGGCAACATATGTGGTAGTATAGACATAGCCTTAGGCTGTTAGCTCTTTCGGGCAGGGTCTCTCTATGTGTTATGCGTTTGTACAGCACCTAGTACAATGGAGTCCTGGTGCATGAGTAAGGCTTCTAGGTACTACTGAAAAACCAATACTATTACTACTACTAATAATAAATGTTGTGGGAAATGTCTTCAGCAGCAGGTCAGTCACAGACCAGCACTTGCTGTGTCTGCTATGTTTTGGACAAAGATATTCACTCCTAGCTTGCTGTTCAGGTACAAATGAAGGGTGCTTCCGCATTGACTGTCTCAGCTTGTTCAGCATTGACTATGTCACTCTTGGTTCTGGCAGAAGCTAAATGATTTCTGCCAGAACTTCAGCTTTCTTTGGAGATGAAGAAAAACAATATAAATTGTAACAGGAAAACCATGAGTTGAGAGTTTAAGTTTGGCTTAGATTCTTACTTAGAAAGTTCAGGTGCTTTTATAAAGCTTGTCCAAAGAACGTGTTGAGTCTGAATAATTGGGCTGGAAGTCTCATGAGAGCAGCCGTGTCATAAGCTATCTAGTACCTCCTGCTGCTTGGGACAGAACAAAGGAGAATAGGTTGTGTTGTATTTCAGGCACTTAAGCTACTGGTCCCTGATAGACCCAAGAAATATTTAGGCACATTAAAAGGAAAAATAATGGAGGAAAGGATGAGAAATTAGCTGCAGTTTTTTAAAAACTAGATTTGAGTCGTAGGCTAAGGTTTTGGTTTTATTATTGTCTGAACAGGTTCTTCCATCATTTAAGATAAGTAGAGAGATCCAAGGTTCCTGGCAAGTATTTGGTTTTATAATCTAGTGCTGTTATAACTCAAGATTTTCCCCCAAACACTTTAGAGCCTCAAACTGGCCATCATCAAAAACATTTTCCTTGAAAACTGGTATTTACTTATAAACAAGGTCTGGAGTGAAGACATCCTTGGAGAGATAATTAGAGCCAATATCCCTGGAATAAAGTAGAGGATATTTTTTGATTTATTTGATCTACGACCTAATTTCTAACATCAAATTTGCATCAGGCTTTTAAAAATATGCATAATCTTATTCGAAGAAAATTGTTTCTGTTTTTAGAAGTGACAGCTGCTGACAGATACTGCTATGAGAAACTGAATATTGAAGGGACTGAGAAAGGTAACTGTGGAAGGGGCAAGGACACTTGGATACAGTGCAACAAACAGTAAGTTCATCTACTCTGGAAAGCAGCTTGTGTGAGATTCTTGCCCCGATCCAATCCTTCACCTGTCATAAACAGTTTCTAAAAGCCTTGGATCTGGCTGGGGGAGAATTCCCCTGGCACAGAAACTGAAGAAGACAGCTGTCTTCTAAGGACCACCTACAACTCAAGCCCCAGTTTAGGGTGTCAGGAATGGAGCCAGGGGTTGGAGGACAGTCCCCATAGTCTGCATCAGCTTCATGGATTCTCATCTGCAACAGACGGTGGAGCAGTTCAGTAGAAGGTGGAGGGGGATGTTATATTAGAACAGCTCTCAGATCAGCCAAATTTATGTCGGGGCCACTTTGGCCACCACAGCAACCCAGAATCCAGGAGGTGTTAAGGTGGCTTAAAGTCACTACCTGCCTCCTCATTGCTCCAAGGCTCTGAAAGGCAGCACATAATAACAGTCCTTCACTTTGCTCTAAGAGTATGTCTGCGCTGCAGCTGGGAGTTGTGCTTCCCATTGTGGATAGACACATTCGTGCTAGCTCAGCTCGAGCTAGTGCACTAAAACTTGCAATGTGGACATAGCAGCAACAGTGGTAGCTTGGGTTAGCTACCTGAGTCCAAGCCTGCCCAACCACCTGGGTCTGAATTGGGGTAGCTAGCCCAAGCCGCTGAGTGTGCTGCAATGTCTAGGCTGCTATTTTTAATGTGCTAGCTTCAACTGAGCTAGCATGAATCTGTGTACCACACTGGAAATCAAACCTCCCAGCTGCAGTGTAGTCAGACCCTCAATGCAAGGCTGGGCCTGACTCTCTATGGCCTGGCACTTTGAGAAGTCATTTACATCTGTGAAAACCTGGTGTAAAATGCCACCATTCTGATTTTGTAACTTAGGGCTTGTCTTCACTACCCGCCTGGATCGGCGGGTAGAAATCGATCTCTTGGGGATCGAATTATTGCGTCTCCTTGGGACGCAACAATCAATCCCTGAATCGACGCGCATACTCCACCAGCCCAGGTAGGAGTAAGCGCCGTCGATGGGAGAGCCGCGGCGGTCGATTTGCCGCCGTCCTCACAGCGGGGTAAGTCGGATCGGATACGTCGAATTCAGCTACGCTATTCGCATAGCTGAATTTGCGTATCTTAAATCGATCCCCCTCCCCCCAGTGTAGACCTAGCCTTAGGCACCCACTTTGCCCAGGTACAAATGACTTATCAAAGTGCAAGGCTGTGGAGAATCAGGCCTACTGTATGGAATATAAATGTTTTTGAAACGAAGATCCAAATCATGGGCCCCAAAGAGACAGTACATAGAAGAGATAATCTCAAAACAGAAATTTGGATCCAAATACCACCAGAACTTTGGGAAAGCTTGGATATGAGTCCACATTCTTCTCTCCTACAAATAAAATCCTCAAGTAGAGAAAATGCTGATTGGAAGATTTGTGTCTGGTATCATAATATTTTTTACCAAATCTCACAAATATTTGAAGTAAATACTGCCGCGTCTGATTTGTGAAGAAATACATAGATTCTGGACATCTCTGGCAGAAATCAGTGTTGCTATGGAGAGCCTAGGCCTTAAACTTGTGTACACTGGGTGCTAACACATTTTGAAACAACAATTAAAATCCTTTTATAAAAAGCCTCTTTTCCTAGTGTAGCCTTAGGTGAGGCTCAAGGGCATGGCAGTTCATGAGGTCATTCTCCACTGCCTTGCACTTTAGGTAATTGCTTAAACCTGTGCAAATTAGGTGTAAATGACAGCTCAGATGCAAGACAGTGAAAAATCAGACATGTACCAGTATAACTATTTCAGGTAGGAGGTGATTTTAAGGTGGATACAGTTATACTGGTCTAAAGGTGTATTATACTGGTCTAGGTTATTCCCCTTCCTGTATGCGAATAGCTATATCAGTATAAGCACTTTTATACCAGTATAATGATATCCACATTAGGGGGATAGTACTGGTATAGTTAAAGTGATAAAACTTTCATGTGTAGACAAGACCTCAGGCTCAAAGAGTCTGGCCACTGAGGTACTTGAAGCAATAGCAAAGAAAGATAACAGGAAAATATGTAAGGCAGGTAAGCAGAGAAATTTTTCTTGAGGATGGGAACATAGAGAATTATGGTCCCTTTTGTCTGTGATATTGGACTTGAGCACTTATGTAAGTGAGGGAGAAATAAGTGGTGGTCTGCCATTCTAATGGGCTGTATACCAGTTACCAGCACATGTGAAAAAACAAAAGACCTGTCAATGACACTAATTTTTTTTATATACGTGTAAAATATTTTTATTGGATTATTTTTCTGAGTGAATGTCTATTTAACCTCTGACTACAGGGATGTGCTTTGTGGATATCTTCTGTGTTCCAATATCTCTAATGTCCCAAGACTTGGAGAACTTGATGGTGAAATCACATCTTCAGTCATACAGCTGGGGAAATCCTACAACTGCAGGTAATTCTTAAAACCCTATAAAATGGAACAGAGATGATATTGCCCTCCAAATTCCTCCGCTATGGAAATGTCAGCAAACTCCTTCCTAAGTGAGAAGCAACTGCTGCCATTAAAAACAAAACAAAAGCCAATGTAAATTGAACTTCAGTCTGACCCCCACCAGTGCTCCTTCCAGATTTGGGTTGAGGCACATTATAATGCCATTTTGGGGAAGCTTTCCCTGCTTCTTCCTTCATTTATTCTATGGCTAAATGCCCTAGAACATCAGCCTCCAGGAGTTATGTATGTTTAATCTGAGTATTTTAAAGGGTGTTGTGCGGAGAGCATGTCTACGGCAGAAATATAGTATCTTAGTTTGTTTTTTATTAGGGTCGCTGAGAAAAAGCCTCCTATCCTCCCCAATATATTTTATGGATCCTGCCTGGTTTCTGCATATTAAAATGACACAAACAAAAATGAATGTGCCACACAAGAATCCAGTGTATTGAACAGTCTTATGTCTGAAGCAGTTAGGGTGACCAGATGTCCCGATTTTATAGGGACAGTCCCGATTTTGGGGTCTTTTTCTTATATAGGCACCTATTACCCCCCACCCCCTGTCCCGATTTTTCACACTTGCCCTCTGGTCACCTGAGAAGCAGTGTGCAAATATATTGTGGCTCTTTGTTTGTTTTGCAGTGGTGGCCATGTTAAGCTAGATGAAGAAACAGACCTGGGCTATGTTGAGGATGGAACGCCATGTGGCCCAGAGATGATCTGTTTTGAGCGCAGATGTCTCCCCAC